TAAACATAATTTTAGTCTTCGTAATTTTATCTTTTAGTTCTTATAATATAAAATAGACATTTTTTTATTTTTATACTTATATTTTATAATTTTTTTTAGTTATTAATGTTAACTTTTTTTATAACTTTGCTTTCTTGTTAGTGAAGTGATCTTATTAAATTTGCGTACCTGATGATGATGTATTTGATTTTTTAAATGTTACTTAATGATTTATTATGCAACTATTAAGAATTTGATCATTTATCTGTATAATATTCAATCATAATATAAAAACAAAATATATGTGTAACTGGATATTAACATAACAAGTTGTGGGACTTGGTGGTTACTCAATATCTATATGGGGTATTTACTAAATATGTTGTAACCATTGATACTTCCTATGCTATAGGATTGTTATGGAATGATTCTTGCAAAACATTTGAGTATTACTTATGCTTTTTAACATATATACAATATCTATTATTTTGTTGACAAATTTTTTTAATTATAATAAATATTGTTTGTCTACAAAATTTTCATTTTTTCTCTCTCTTAAACTATTAAGTAACATATCATCATTTACAAAATCAAATACACCATCATCACATGTATATAATAAACTTATGTCATTCATATGAAAATAATGTTAAAAAATTAATAAAATATAAAGGTCTAAAAAAGAAAAATACATTATTAAAAATATATTTTAAATTATAAAGACTAAAAAATAAAGTCAATAAAATTATAAAGACTGCAAACTATATTTTAACCAATCTTCTTTTGACTATTGTAGTCAATTTAATGGTAAGAGTTAAAATAATATACACACTATTTTAAGATGAAATTCTTGCATCATGATTACAATTTCATATGATAAAAAAATAATGTTATTATGATAAAAAAAATAATGTTATTTCAAGTAATTTTTACATTTAATTAGTATTGCAATTGTATGATAACATTTAATTAGAATGAACTAACAATATAATAATTTTGTTAACTTTTATTATTCTTATTATTATTATTTAATCTTGTAAAGGTGCACATGGGTACAAAACGCTGTCGTTTCTTTTGCAACGTTGTGCTTCTGCATCGGTGATCTTCTTCCTCCATCGTTACCGTGGTAGGGTTCTCAGAGTTGCAGTTTCCCTTCATTTCTTCACCCTCACTCACATCAACGTCTCGATCCCTCCACCAATTACCCGCCAAATCAACAGCATCGCATGACACGCTACGATATTTCGTTACGTGCCTGCAAGTAATTAGCTGAAAAATTATTAAGCTTCTGAGAAGATCGTTAATCTCTGTGCATAGCATTGAAGCACTTGAAAGATGCAGAAATTGGGTGACTTCAAACTACCACATTTCTTCAATTACCCACCTTACTTCACGTAAATTCCCTTTTTATCCTTGTCTTTAGCTTTTTTTATGCTTTGCTTTCATTGGATATTTTATCAGGTTGCTTGTGATATTGTATTATTGTTGTGTGATTCAATTGTTTTGCCTCTTTGGTTTGCAAAGTTCGTTGCTTAGGGTTACTGATAAGATTATTGAGAGTGAGGTAGTAGTTAACCTGTGGTTCACCTTTGTTTCTACCTTTTAGTTTGCAGCCTGTAAGAGACACAAGAGAGAAGCAGATACAAGTACAACTATGGAAAGAACTTATTTTAGATTATTGTAAAACACAGAAGATATTTGTAATTGGACTTGAAGAAGAATTTCCTCTATTTACAAATCATGTAATTGAAAGTAAGCTCAAAATTCCTGCTTTTGTGTCATTTTATGTGAAGTTGAGTAGTCCCGTAAATGCTCCTTTAGTGTTTTTAGGTGAATAAATGCCCCGCCAGTTTTTTTTTGGTGAATAAATGCTTCTTTAGTTTTTGGTCTTGCGTATTTCTGTTTTTTTTTGTTGTATGATTGTTTTAGATTTTTGATCCTGCAGGGTCTCTTACCCATGAAGCCAGAGCAACTTTCCTTTCAGCATTAGTTTCTGAAGGTATGCTTCATTCATGTCTATGGATTTATAATTCTTGTATTTGTCTTAGAGAAAAATGCCTGAAGTGTGTTATTTTAATTTGGCAGGACGTGCAGAATGGATGGATAAAGGACATAGGAAGTGTCTTATTCTCTGGCATCGGATTCAAGATTGGGCTGACATTTTGATACAGTTTGTAAGTTTAGATTACTAGTTTGATACTGCAATGGTTATTTAATGCCTTGTTATTGAATTTGCTTTAATATTGATTAGGCAAAAGATAATGGACTGGAAGATGGTGTTGTGACGATAGAAGAAATACGATCTGGGACTGAATCTCAAGGAACAGGTAATCTGTTAATGCTTATGTCCTATCTATTTATTAAGCTATAATTTGTGACAGGAAAAGTTTGACGATTATTTGCTTGTTCAATTCAATTGTCTTGTGTGTTGAAGCATGCGAGTATATGTTTAGGACTTGATAGTGGTACTTTTGTTAGGCCTTTTAAATATTATTGCTTTTCAATGTGTTTCCAATCAATCTAGTTGAATCGGACCCTTTTGAACGAGATTACGTATGTGGTTTCCGGTAGTTGAGGGATAGATGGAAATTTGAAAAGATATATTTCTTTAACTGTTTTTAGACTCAATTTAGGATAAGATGAAAAGCCATCATGGCAGAGAATCAGTATCCCAAAAAGGATTTTTGGTATGACCGTATGAGCTGTGTTAAAAGAATTCAGGAATTCTTCAGTTATCCTTACGTTCTTGTTGCTTTTGAAATAGTATTTAAAGAAGTTTATGCTCTATTTTTATCTTTCTTAAGGGTGATTGGAAAGTGAGTGAGCAATGGAACAAAAACAAAGAAAACTAAAATGCAAGGGTCATCATGGGGTGGTTGACAGGTTTCTAAGATTTGGAAATTTTAAGATCTAAAACCAGTTTTTAGTTAGATTCAATTTTGTTATTTTTAGTTTTCAAATTTTAATACCATATTATCGCTTATTACTTCCTCATTGAAGTCATTTCACGGTGATGGGATGATTGGTGCTGGTGATACTAGTGGTGGGAGTGGTGGCAGTAATGTTGGTTTACTTGTGAGTTGTGACAACAGTAGCGGGGGTATTGGTGGCAACAATGTCTGTGGTGGAAACAATAATGGTGTTGGTAGCAGTGGTGATGACAAGTGCGGTGATATGCTGAGTTTTTCTAGAAAGTTGGAGGAATTGAATGATTTGATTTTACAACTTAAAAATTAAAGAGACTAAATTACTCTTTTGATCATTCTTTAATTGGTTCAATTTGGTCTCTTTATTATTAAAAGGTTCAATTCTTAAAAATAATGCAATGTTGTCCTTTCCATTCAATGTAGACTAACAACGTTACTTCATTGTACATGTGGTGGCACATGTCATTTTTTTAAATGGTGCCATTTGTACAAAAAATTAAGGGACCAAATTAAAACATTTAATAATAAAGGGATCAATTACAACCAATTAAATAAATAAAATTGAATTTGCTTTAATATTGATTAGGCAAAAGATAATGGACTGGAAGATGGTGTTGTGACGATGGGACCAAAAAAATAATTTAACCAATAAAAAACTACTTATTTTTTGTTTTAAAAATTGAGCAAAAATTGATACAAAATTGATTTAAAAATCAATTCAGTTTCCTTTTAACCGAACACTTCTGTTTTTGAATTTTGTATTTGGAAACCAAAAAGGGGAAACTTGTGACTACCCCAAATGAGCCCTAAATTTAAAGAATTTAATTTTGTTCATTGTCAATTTTGGGTTACCATAGTATTATGAAGTATTAAAAGCAGTGACTAATCTCTTCTAAAAATTGTAAGGATAATGTATTTTCCTTTCAACATAGTCTATTTCTATCCAAGATCAAGATTTGAATTATGAGCAACTCTAGCAGTTTAAAGAGACTAAATTTAAAGAGATTTACCATACCATCAAAGCTGTTTAAAAAGCTATGTCAATTGAATGCTTTGATTATACAACTAAAAAGAAAGCTACCTTTTTTGGTTTTAAAAATTAAGCTTAAAGTGATTCAAATTTTGTTTAATAATCAATTCAGTTCCATTTTAACTGAACATTTCCATTTTGAAATTTGTATTTGGAAACCAGGGGAGAAAACTTGTGACCACCCCAAACAAGCCCTAAATTTAAAGGATCTAATTTTTATCCATTGACAATTTAAAGAGTCTTACCTATCACCAAAGCTGTTAAAAGCATGGTAGTAAGTATCGTAGGAATCGCGATTCGTATCGTACGATACGATACGATTCCGTGCTTCAGCGATTCGAATCGCATGGTGTATCGTTTTTGATCCTGAATCGTTTTCGAATCGTTTGTATCGGGTTTAGAATCGGAAAATCGCGATTCTGGAAGGTCTCGCACGATTCTGGGAAGAAACGGGTCGCGTCCAAAACCGGGTCGGGTCATGCGCGACCCGGTTCTGAAAACCCTAAAAAAAATGATTTTTTTTAAATAAAAAAAGACGAAACTGAGACAGAAAATGCCGATACCCATTCCTGTACATGACCCACTTAGTGGGTTTCACTTTTAGTGGTCCCTTTGTCTCGTCCAGGTTCGCAGCTTCGTTTGGATGGCTGTTTGGGTTGCTGTTCTTCGTGTTAGTGGTCCACTTGTTGCTGAGTTTATGCAGCAACAACACTAATATTTTTTTTGGGTGGCTATATTGCTGATTAGAGTAGCAAACAGTCCCTTGTATATGTATATATTTAGCAACAACAATGATTTTTTTGGAGGCTTTGTTGTTGAACTGTACAGTCATTTCTTTTGGCTTTGAGACTGTTATTATTTGTATAATTCTATCTTTGTTTGTATTTTGAAGCTTATATATTACTATATATTTATGTATGACTTCATTTTGTCTGTTTCTTTATATTAAAATGTGCTTAGAGTGCTTTTATATGTCTTGTATGCATATATATACACTATGTTTTTATTGATCACGAATCTTACGATTCACGATACGATTCGATTCACGATTCAAAAAATAAGCTTTTCGATACATTATGTGTATCTCGATTCAACTACCATGGTTAAAAGTTGTACTGCTAGGGAAAGGCTCGATTACTACTGCAATGACATTACAGTTTTCTGTTTACTGACAACATAAAATGTCTTGCTCACAGTAGATCAAATTTAAGTTCAATATTAGAACAAAAAAAAGAAAAAGGACAACCTTTTCTATTGGGAAAAATCCAAGTCCCACATCGACTAGAGATTAGGCAATTAAATAGTATATAAGTGGAAAACAACCCTCACTTTACAAGCCGGTTTTTTAGGGTTGAGTTAGGCTTAAATCTACTATTCTAAGATGATATCAGAGCTATCCTAGATTCTTAAAAATGAGTCATCTACCATTCATTGATACATGCATCATGGGCATGAGGGGGTGTATTCAAGTTCCGCCAATCTTAGATCATTAAAAAAAGGTCATCTACTATTTATCCACGTACCAAGCCCAATAGTGCTGGACATGAGAGGGGTGTATTCGGAAAAACTCAAGTCTCACATCGACTAGAGATTAGGCAATTAAATAGTATATAAGTGAAAAATAACACTCACTTTACAAACCGGTTTTGTAGAGTTGAGTAAGGCTTAAATCCACTATTCTAAAGTTTTCCCTTAAGCTTTGAAAGGATGGAAAGAATGTTAATTTATTTTATAGTTTATTCTCTCATTGTTCATGTTACTATGCTATTAATTTCTAATTAACATTTGAATAATGTAGTACCTTTTATCCTTGCTTGCTTGTTGCATTCCCACTTGTAGTTGACTTGTTTTGTAGTGTATAGTTCTTGGGTTACATCCTACCCATGTGTCAGTAACCGGTTCTTGTTTTGCCCTGTGTGGGAAGTAAACCACACAGAACCCAGCAAGGCTATTGATATGACTGTGATCCATTAGTTACTATTATATGCCACTAACAATGGCCCGTGGTGTTCGTATATTAAAACAAAGATTTAAAACTCCTTGATGCACTGAATTAAAATTCCGTTGTGTGTTCTTGTAGCATATAACTTAATCTAGTTTGTGTAATTTGATGACATCTATGGCAACCTGCCTGCTTATAAGGAACATCTTATGGTGCTAAGTAAATTTTCCTATTGCGAGTATTGACCCCTATCCCCGTCGTGAAATGGGAAGTGTTTAACTTCACCTTGAGTGTTGTCACTTCTCTTTATTTCCCCGTTTATAAACTTTTTAGGCTCTTTGTATTATAAATATATATTTTCACGTAATCATTTAATCCCTAGTTAATAGAATGACATTGGAACAATTCCTATAATTTAAAGATTAATTAGGCGAGTTAAAGTGTTTACATGCTAAAGAGATATGTCATAGTAGTTTTACCCTTTTCTACCATTTTTGACCGATAAAAGAAAAAGAGATATGTCATACAGTTCAGGGAGATTGAATACTCTTTTTCTTAATATATTTTAGTTATTTCCTACGTGCTGGGCTTTGCAATTGTTTTGACTCATTATTTTTTATATTCCACAGAGCTTCATGGAATAGATCGAACTATTTTGAATCGTGCACTGAAACTATTAGAACAGAAGGGAAAGCTTGTGGTCTTTAAAGGAACTTCAACCGATGATGGAGTTAAATTTTCTCTATAATTTTGTGTTTGAATCTATTGAATCTCGGGGGATTTTAAATATGTTCAACAGGGGGAATCTTTTGCTATCTACCTCGTGAGTTTGTTGACGTGCAAGATGTGTAAGAAAAAACTGTAATTAATTGCTATTGAATTTCATTTCGGGTGCTTCGTTAAGAGTTTAGTTTTGTAGCCATTCGTGGTTAAATTAGTGAAACTATGCTGCCTGAGAAATCATGAAATTCATAAATAGAAGGTGGCGTTCCATTGTGCCAAAAAATTTATCCTGGTTTAAAAAATTGATGCTGTTGTTACTATAAAAAAAATGATATGCTATTTTTCAATGGTTGTATATGTCTGCATCAGTCCATCAGTTACTCGTACTACTGCGAAGTTGTTTTTATAAATTAATAATAGAATGATTTTGAATGCCGTTTATTTTTAAGTCTTGTTGAAAGCACCAGTTGCTTTTAGAGTTTAGCGTTAGCAACCATGATTGCTCCCCTTTTCACCATCACAGCATTCATAACATGTTCTGCAAAGTAAATACTACAGTGCTGAACAACTATAAATCAAATAGAACGCGGTTATGATTGCGTGAATGGTTAAGAAAAAAGTTGACTAAACATGATTATTGCCACATCTTAAAAGCAACGCAATGCAATTGGACTCCGAGATTGTGGTTGTATATCACATGGTGGGGTATATTATCAATCTTACAATTTGCCGTTAATAATCCCATCGTTTAACTATACAGTGGTGGAGTATATACTTTCAATGATTCTACACAATACATGGATATTAAAACGAGTTTAAATATCCATGAATTATTTAAGTTAATTAAATGTTCGGTTGAACTGATGTATTCAACTATGTTGAACTGATTTATTCAACTATATATATATATATATATATATATACAACTATGGAAAGAAATATTTTTGAAGTTTAAACAAATAAATACTATATTATCTTCAATCTTCTGATACAGTAACTACAAGGATCTTGGTTTTTTTTTGGCTATACCCTATTAGTGAGATTGCGGGTCTATAGTTCGGGATGATTTAATTGGGCTGTTTTCGAAGCTAGTTTTGTTTATCCAAAATAAATAACTAAATTGAGCTTCCTGTTACCTTGCTACCTTGCTAATTTCCATGGGATACGATAAGAACAGTGCTTAATAATAAGGTGACGTTTACCGGGTCAACATTCCTAGAAATTATTTTATTCAATTAAAAACAACTTCCGAGGTGTACCAAAAACAGATTACGAGATATGATGCAGGATTAATATATCATAACTGTTGTATTCAATTATAAAATCATATCATGCATGCCAATTTGGAGTAAGAATATGGTTAACGTCCAACCTAATTTTTAGATGGATATAAATGGCAACCACACCCTTTTCAAGTTACAGGAATCTCGCAAAATTTCAATTCTCAATAAGATGCATTCTCTCTGTTTTAGGGAGAAAAAAAGAGTAAAAATTTAAAACTATTTATAATTACGACGTATACTCACAAAATGTTGTATCATATTTTATTTAGAATTTTTATGTTATTTTTATATTTTATTATTATTTGATTTTATTTTCTCACGTGTCAAATTATTAAATAATCGTTTTTTTATTCTCTTTCATCATTTAATTTTTTTTTTCATCTTACAAGATTGGAACATTAGCAATAAAAACTTACGAGTTTGACATAAAGTGGAGACCGCTGTTTCTCATCAGTGGACAAAAATTCGAATTTATTTTTTCAGTTACGACAGAAAAAGTACAATTAGATCATCAAGCTAATAAATGACACAATGATATTCTCTAAAATATAATAAAGCATATACCGATCATAAGTATTATGATTTTATTAAGTTTATGGTCTAATTTGGAGTACTTATATTAATTTCTAATAGTTTAAGATCTTATTTTGAACTCAAAATATATCTAAATCGGTAAATGATCATATTTTATCTTTGAATCATGTTTTTAGGTGATTTATAAGCATTTAATTACTATTTTGTAGTTTAGGGAAAAGTTAGGAAACATGAAAGGAAGCAAAGGACAAAGTGGTGAGTTCAAAGCATAAGGAATTTTTGGCTAAGTCTCTAAGTCTCAGATCCCACGCTTAGCCTCAGTTGGACAGAGAGTCAAGGAAACAACTTTAATCTTCACATTGAGCAATGAAAATTGGCATTGAGTGTCAGTGTTTCAGAAAGTCACTCCCTTCTAGACCAATCCCTCACACTTAGTGTGGCATGTCACGCTTAGCGTGAATTGTGCTGACATGTCATTATTCAGATAAGACAAAAAAATTTATGACTTAAAAGAGAGAATTTCGAGGAGTTAAGGAGAGGACCTTTCTTGGAGTATAGGACTCTAGGTTGTGGTTGGAGAGTTTTGGAACCTTCAAAATCAAACTTCTTCATTTCTTCATCATTTTTGTAGAGTTCTACATGTCTATGTGTAGCTAATCTCACCCTTGTTGGGGTTTGATGTAACTAGTAAACTCATTCTCAATATAAACTCTAAGTGATCAATTTCAGTTGTTATTCAGTTTTATTGTCCTGTTTCTTGTGCATAATGCTTGTTATGATTTGATTTCCCTTAACTTGAACTTGAGGTTTTTAAGAGATTGGAAAATACTTTTGAACCTTTGAATGGAAATAAAGCAACTGATGGTGCTTATATCTAGGAATAGAGTAAATGTCATTAGTCTTTCTTAAGCTCTAGTTTTGAAAGTTGGTTTCCTGGTGAAACTATGCAAGGAATTGATAGGTTAATCTAGCAACTTAGATGTCAACTTGTAAGGGATTAAGGTTGGTTATTTTTTAGAGTGATTGATAAAAATTTGAATGATAACTATTGTGAGCTCATTGATAAACATGAGAAGAAAGTTTAGTGAAGTCAAAACCCCAACTAGGGATGGTAATGGGACCCCATGGGGGTGGGTTAATCTGCCCTCACCCCGTTGAATGAAAATTGGCCCCATGGGGGTGGGTGTATCCATTAAGCGAGTATCCATGAATTTCTTGAATACCCACGGATATCCATGGATATTCATGGATATTTATAAATTTTTTAAGAAATTAAAAGAATTATATTACAAATAATTTTAAGTTTATATTCAATGTCATTGAAATATTAAAAATAAAAATTTAATATTAATTTTAAACTTGTATTTGACGTTAATTTTGTTGAAATAATAATAAAAATGCAAGATAATCAATAACTTAAAATACACCAATCTCACAAATAAGTTAATGTCTCATCACAAAGCTATAATTATTCAATCTCATAATTCCAAACGAAAGTAAACAACTTAAAATACATAAATTTATTAGTCCAATCAAAGTTAGAAAATTAATTAAATTACATCCAACATAATTTTATAACATGCTTAACACATGTATTATTAGTAGCTTCATCAACCTCACTTTTGTAAGAAAATAAGATGAGAGAGTGTAGTTTTAGGGTTATGTGGTACAATGATAATTAGGATATTTAAGAAATATTATTAAACGAGTACTCGCGAGTATGAATATCATCATACCCGTCCTCGCCCCGTTTATAAACAGGTAAAAAATTATCTGTTCTCATTATCCGTGAGTACTCAATTAGCCTGTCCATTTATTATTCGTAACGGATTTTACCCGCAAATATCCGCGGGTGCGGGTATTTTTGTCATTTCTAACCCCAACACTTATTAATATTATTTTAGAATAAAGTTTTGCACCCTAAGTGTTTACAAAAATACCAAAAAGAATTCTTATAACATTCACATTGTTTACTTACATTGTTTACTACAACAAATCAAATTTTTATTACTTTTTGTTAGCTTAATTAGTATAACAAATAATTTTGTAAAATGTTGTATAAGTTCCTTGAAATAGGATACTCATACTTTCATTAAATTACTTATATAATTTGATACATGTACCAAAGACGATAACAACTCAAAAAAAAAAAATCAATATGATTAAAATAAGGTTTTCTATATCATTCTTAAACAACTATGAGAGGTACCAAGATATAGCGAAGTGAATAACAATAATTAATGAATCACCATAAAAAAATCAAATATAATTAATTTAAAACAAGTTGTGCAATAGGATGTAAAAAAAATAAAAATCAGTTGTTAGAATGTGAAAGATTACCGAGATATATCCAAGTCAATAACAATAACGAATTACGATAAAAAAAATTAATATAACGTAGCTGGTCGAGCAATTTGATTCTTTTTCTAATGGTTACCATTCTGCGGTCCAATCGATTTTATTTTAATATCAGTGAGGTTGAGACACGTTTTTATTAAAAGTAAAATAATAAATAATAAATATAAGTTGATTTAGTGTTATAATTAATTTATTAATTTTAAGGTCTTGATTTTAATAAAAAATATATTTTTTTATTTTTTTAAATAAAAAATATAACGATTAATAAAATATAAAAATCAAATACTATAAAAATGTTTTATTTTAGAATCGGCCAAAAGTCAATTCTAAATCATAAAATTCGACATAATATTGTCGGTCGTTTGTCAAATTTTGGCTTATGCTAAATAAGTTGACACAATTTTTTTTTGTGTCAACTAAGCTGTTGATAACAAGTTTATTCATTTTAATTTTTTATTGTTGGTTAAGCTGATACTAAGTACACACAAAATTTTTATTTTTTTCTTATCTTCTTTTTCCAGCTTATCATTTATTTGTTCGTATTTTTAACATTCTCAAGGACTTGATCTGTGAACCTTGAGGTCTCAAGTGAACTTGATAACCAAGTATATCACAACACATTATCTATATAAGATTGAAAATAATTATCTTTATCTTTTTCAAAGTATGTATACTATCGAAAAATTTGACGTTATTTTAAGATATAACGTCGATTTTTTCGATACTAAATTTAAATTTTAAGTTTAGCATCGAAAAAGCTAGAGCTATTTATTTAAATATAGTGTTGACTTTTCTGATACTAATTTAAAATAACGTCAGCTTTTAACTGACGCTTATTTCTCGTAGCTATTTCAGTGTTTTCTTGTAGTGAAAGTGATTACTAAAAAAATATTCTTTTTTTATATATTAATATAAATAACCTAGTTATGACATAATATTATATGATAATATCATATTTAAGAACGGTAGTTACTACTTAGGATTTAATGAACGCATACGTTTTAAAAAGTTATTTACCGTACATAATAAGTTTGTTAATTTTCATAGTAATTATTTTTAAGTCATATAATTAATAATTTTTTATCAGTTAATTCTTTTACACCGATAATTTATCATCATTAAACTCAAATACTTCATATACTGAGTTCAGATTGGTTATTCAAACTTCGAATGCAACAGTCAAATATGTAATAAAATGTTAAAATATCTAAACGAGAAAACCAACTTAGTTGTCAGAATGTGTTTTTGGAGTATTCTCCATTCATATGAGAACAATACGTTTCTATTCAGAATTGGCCATGGCTTTTTTTGAGTTTAAAGAGATAAAATAAATAAAAGTTTTAAAGATTACGTATTTTCCTTTCAACATAGTCTATTCCTAAGATCTAAGATTCCAATTTTGAATAACTCTAGCAGTTTAATGAGACTAAATTTAAAGAGTTTTACCATACCATCAAAGTTGTTTAAAAAAGATATGTCAATTGAATGCTTTGATTATACAACTAAAAAGAAAGCTACCTTTTATGGTTTTAAAAATTAAGCTTAAAGTGATTCAAATTTTGTTTAATAATCAATTCAGTCCCATTTTAAGTGAACATTTCCATTTTGAAATTTGTATTTGGAGACCAAGGGAAAACTTGTGACCACCCCAAACAGGCCCTAAATTTAAAGGATCTAATTTTTATCCATCGACAATTTAAAGAGTCTTACTCTATCACCAAAGCTGTTAAAAGTTGTGCTGCTAGGGAAAGGCTCGATTACTACTACAATGACATTACAGTTTTCTGTTTACTGACAACATAAAATGTCTTGCTCACAGTAGATCAAATTTAAGTTCAATATTAGAGCAAAAAAAAGAAAAAGGACAACCTTTTCTATTGGGAAAAATCTAAGTCGCACATCGACTAGAGATTAGGCAATTAAATAGTATATAAGTGGAAAACAACCCTCACTTTACTAGCCGGTTTTGTAGGGTTGTTTCCCTGTTTAAGCTTTGAAAGGATGGAAAGAATGTTAATTTGTTTTATAGTTTATTCTCTCATTGCTATTAATTTCTAATTAACATTTGAATAATGTAGTACCTTTTATCCTTGCTTGCTTGCTACATTCCCACTTGTAGTTGACTTGTTTTGTAGTGTATAGTTCTTGGGTTACATCCTACCCATGCGTCAGTAACCGATTCTTGTCTTGCCCTGTGTGGGAAGTGAACCACACAGAACCTAGCAAGGCTATTGGTATGACTGTGATCCATTAGTTAGTATTATATGCCACTAGCAATGGCCCGTGGAGTGCGTATATTAAAACAGATTTAAAACTCCGTGATGCACTGTATTAAAATTTCATTGTGTTTTCTTGTAGCATAACATAACTTAATCTAGTTTGTGTAATTTGATGACATCTTTGGCAACCTACCTGCTTAATAGGAACATCATATGGTACCAAGTAAATTTTCCTGTTGCGAGTATTGACCCCTACCCTCGTCGTGAAATGGGAAGTTTTTAACTTCACCTCAAGTGTTGTCACTTCTCTTTATTTCCCTGTTTATAAACTTTTTAAGCTTTTTGTATTATAAATATATATTTTCACGTAATCATTTAATCCCTAGTTAATAGAATGACATTGGAACAATTACTATAATTTAAAGATTAATTAGGACGAGTTAAAGTGTTTACATGCTAAAGAGATATGTCATAATAGTTTTATCCCTATCTACCATTTTTGACCGATAAAAGAAAAAAGAGATATGTCATACAATTCAGGGAGATTGAATACTCTTTTTCTTAATATATTTTATTTATTTCCTACGTTCTGGGCTTTGCAATTGTTTTGACTCATTATTTTTTATATTTCGCAGAGCTTCATGGAATAGATCGAACTATTTTGAATCGTGCACTGAAACTATTAGAACAGAAGGGAAAGCTTGTGGTCTTTAAAGGGGCTTCAACTGATGATGAAGGAGTTAAATTTTCTCTATAATTTTGTGTTTGAATCTATTGAATCTTGGGGATTTTGATTCTATCTTTGTGGTTGTGAATCGTTTTAGTAAGATGACTCATTTTATACCCTTGATAGTGCATTTTGAGAAATAACTTTGTATGCATTTATTTATCCTTTTTGACCTTTGTATGTGTCTTATATTCATGTTTTGGCTTAGATTTATGATAGTGATATTATTTAATATTTTTTGTAATTTTTACTTAATTTTTGGACTTTTATCAACTTGAATACTCTGTCTTGTGTAGGCCGTATTTTGAGCTCCCAAACTCTGATTGGGATGTTCTTGGTACCGTTGAAAAGCTTAAGAGAGTGGTACAACCTCTTTGTTGAATTCCAAAGCCAATTCAGATAAAAAAAAAGCTCCAAAAATGTAGTGCAAAGTTACAACCCAATAAAATTTTATTTTTTTATTTTTAGTTTAAACTTAAATGACTTATAATTAGTGTATTAGTAACTTAATTAGTGGGTCAGGCTTTGTTAAGTCATACTTAGGTCCATTTAGTTGTCTATACATAAGTGTAATTGCATTGGAGTCGAGAACTTCTATCTCATTTTTCAAATTTTCTTGCATTACAAGTTTTTCTTATTTTCTCTCAACTCTCCTTTCTCTCAGAGTTCTCTCTTTTCTCTATTTTCTGGACAAAACTCTTCATCTTCTCTGTGCATAGATTTGTGAGTTGATAGCAATGGAGATGTGCAGCTAGCTAAGTTTGATTAATCAATTCAAGTTTCCAATTTTTGTGGTAAATTCCTCTCGAATTCAAATGTCCTTTTTTTTTTTGGTTCTTCAATTAATTTTGAATTCGATTCATGATTGTGGACTGGGTTTTTGATTAATTGAAGAATAAAATCAATTCAAATTAATTTTAGGACATCGAATTTATTCAATTTAGATTGAAACAATGCAAAACATATTTGTCTTCATAGGATTTTTATAAAGCGCGATTGCGTTCTGCGTCCTTTAATTCAAATTGAATATTAAACAGTGTAATTCATATTATTTCTTAATAATATGGCAATTAGATACTTGAATTGGTGTTTCATCTGATTAGATTGTCAAATTCGTGATTCTTTAGAATTAAATCGTAGTTTTATAATATGTTTTAATTTCTACACATAAACTATATGTGAAAAATTCCCTTGTTAACTTTTGATAAAAATTTGTGTTCTTATGAATTATGTCTTTTGAGAATTCGACCTAGGATTTCTTTATATTGCAAAATTTAGGAGAAACTAGTATTATTTGACCACATTTGATGATGCGTGTTAACCTTACAACAAAGTAGATGATGCTAGTCATATCTTAAGACTCTTCTTTAAAGAAGTTTCCAAGTAGCATGGTTTACCCAAAATCATAGTGTTAGATAAGGATGCTAAGTTCCTAAGTCTTTATTGGAGGACTATTTTGGAAATATTTGGAACTAAGCTTATTTTCTCTACTACTTGCCACCCACAGACTGATGGACAAACAAAACTAGTCAATAGATCCATGTTTATACTATTAAGGTTTTATTAAAAGGCAACAAGAAGTCTTGAGATGATTATCTTATTCATACATTTGTAATACATTGATAGAGCAAAATTTTTATAAATTAAAAACATAACAATCACCTTGGTGTAACATCCATGAGGTGCACCCTAGGTTGAGCAGAAATACATTTTCGTTTTAGGAAAAACAACATTACAACAAAGAGGTTTTCCCCTCTTGTCAACATAAGTTTTTTGCTTATTCTGAGTAGTCTTTATCCTCTCTTATATCAACTTCAACTTATCAATCACCTCTATTATCTTTTATGGATCAAATTAAATGGTTACTCAAATGTTAAATTAAACAAATAAATTATTTTTTAAAAATAGAATTTACAGTTTATTACATTTTTTTTTTATCTTTCTTTCATTCATTGTTATATTAATTTTTATATGATTATAAATTTTTTTATATTGTCTTCTCACCTTTGTAATAATTTATTGATGTTTTTCTTGTCCAACAAAATCCATCTTTTTTTTTTTATGTAATTGAAATATTTATTAAACAAATCTAAATACTAGTCACAACTTATTTATTTTTAAATTAATAAATAACATTATCTATACTTAATTGCTTCTATTACATAGATTTTTTTAGATAATTATGGTATTGATACAAGGTATCCACCATAAAAAAATAGTGTTTAATTTTTTCTAGAGATGTAAGACAAGTATTCTTCTCTAAATATAGTTTATTTCATATCTAAGTCTAGGATTCAAAAAAGTAATTTAAATTTTAAAATAAATAAAGAAATAAAAAATAGAATTTTATCCAATTTATTACATTTTAAAGAAAAAAACAACAAATACTTGTTTTAAGAAAAATCAAAATAACTATTACAAATTTATAGAAAAAAAAATATTTAACCCTTCTTTATTTTTTTTTTAATTTTTTTTTTCAATAGAATTTGAAATAACATAAAAATTTCCCTTACAAAAATTTTCCGCCATATAATTTGGTAATTAAAAAACAAACAAAAATTGGTAAAACCATGCGTTTGAAACACTAGGATTCGAAGGACTGAGTCTTGAGAAAACTCCTTTCGCCGTCGTCTTCCACCGTAGCATTAGGGTTTTCCGAGTTTCACTTTTTTCTCAATATTCACTCTATCCAACCGATTCCACAAAGTATCCCAATTCCTTCGCAGTTCCGTTCTAGCAACATTATCCTGCGACACGGTACGGCATTTGGTTCCTCAGTCTCTGGATTCTAGGGCTTTGTTGACCCCTTTTGAATTGCAATTTTCACTGCATTTTCAGTTTTTTTTTTTTTTTTTTTTTTTTAAAATTTCAAGAAAAAGTTGAAATATTTTGGATGAGGCTTGATGCAAACATAAACCTCTGAATTGAGAGTATTTTGTTTTTAAATCAATTAATTTCATACTAATTAGTTTCGAATTTCAATTATTCTTTCTTTGTTTTGTCAGTTGAATGATTTATACATTCAAATTATGTTAGTTTGACAACCTAATTTGATGTTACTTGTTATGGGTGGAAATTTTGAAAGAAAAGGAAATGTCTATGGTTGAGGAGCCGCTATATCCAATAGCAGTGCTTATAGATGAGTTGAAAAATGATGACATTCAGCTTCGGTTGAACTCAATTCGAAAGTTGTCTACGATTGCGCGGGCTCTTGGGGAGGAGCGAACGCGTAGGGAACTGATACCCTTTTTGGGTGAGAATAATGATGATGATGATGAGGTACTTCTTGCGATGGCGGAAGAGTTGGGGGTGTTCATTCCTTTTGTTGGGGGAGTGGAACATGCCCACATGTTGCTCCCACCTTTGGAGACGCTTTGCACCGTTGAGGAAACTTGTGTGAGAGATAAAGCTGTGGAATCACTTTGTAGGATTGGATCACAGATGAGGGAGAGTGATTTGGTTGAGTATTTCATCCCATTGGTGAAGGTTAGATACCATTGTTTCGTCAATGTAAATTTTCTTATACATCTTTTTTGCTGGTTGAACATCCTGACAATATTTTCTTTTGATTTTTGTTTTAGAGATTGGCAGCAGGTGAATGGTTCACTGCTCGAGTCTCTTCATGTGGACTATTTCATATTGCTTACCCTAGTGCACCAGAAATGTCAAAGACAGAATTGAGATCAATATACAGTATGTTGTGTCAAGATGACATGCCTATGGTTAGAAGATCTGCTGCATCAAATCTTGGGAAGTTTGCTGCAACTGTTGAGTATGCTCATTTGAAGGCAGACACTATGTCAATTTTTGAGGATCTTACTAAGGATGGTAATTGAATACATATTTCTCTTTCTTTATAGATGTAAAGGGATTGTCAATAGTAGATTCAAATTCAATAATAAGTTTTACTTAATGAAAGTATCCCTTTTAATATGTAATTTTATTCTTTAACATGGTTCAGATCAAGACTCTGTTAGATTGTTGGCTGTGGAGGGTTGTGCTGCTCTTGGCAAGCTGCTGGAGCCACAAGATTGTGTCACACATATACTACCGGTTATTGTCAACTTTTCACAGGTGCATTTTAGTACTATTAATAATCATATAATTAATTTTTCTTCTTCATTATGCTTAAAACTATGTGTTTGATTTAGTGATGTTCACTTTCTAAGATGTTATGCTATCTTTCTTTTTTTTGGCTTTTTTTTTTCTTTAAGAACAAATAGGGATACTCTATATCTTAAAGGACATCTACAGAGTAGCTTCAGGCATATATATACCTTGTCAAAAATCAACCAAAAGATACCAAGAATTGTACCGCAAAAAGAAATAAAAACCCTGGCCTTATCCTATGTATCACAAAATACATGGCTACATGCCTATATTCCAGTATTTTGAAATAAAAGAAATAGCTGCAAAATGTTATTATTCTTCACTTTTGATGTCTTGCAAGCAAAGACAACCATATTTTTATTTCTCAAAGTATCTCAAGATTTATGAATATATGTATTTGATTTATTATAATTTTATAGATACACCAATGATACATAGTGCCAATACTCTCCAAAATACATCTAATTTCATCAAAATATCAGTGTTGATTTATATGTTAATGTGATAGTAATCTTTTATATATGTATGTATATCTATATATTTATATTTATGTATTTATATTTATTTATAACAATATATAAAGAAGATATATGCTTTTGGTATCCACTTTTACAAAGACAATGATATCCCTATATTTGTATTCTAATAACAATAAATATAAATTGTGGAAATATAAATATCTATTTTTTCCTAAATAATATTCACCAAAAAGGAATTTTTTTTGTGGAAATATAAATATCTAAGGATTAAATAGGAAATTAATGCATATACAAAATAATAACTACTTTTTAAAAAATAGTAACTACCAACTTATTTAAAAAAATATTTATTTTTTCACAAAGGCATGTAGTGGCTTTTAAATTGCTAGTATATATAAAGGGGATATCCCCTTTTGGTGTACACAATTTTTGAACTATTTTGTCTTTATAACTTCTATATTATATCTCTACCCTTTATAACTACATAAAAAACTACCTCCTATTATTAACCACTAACTATTATTCAATCTTTATTAATTTTATTTTGCTTTATTTTTATTTAAAAGTAAAACGAGGCACAAAGTACCTTTTCTACGCCAGTATATATAATTAGAATAACTACCTTGTGTGGAAGAATTTTTAGTTTAGGAAGTTTTCTTTAAAAATAGTGTTTTTAGTTAAAAAAAAATTAGATGAGTGTTTTTAGGTATTTTTTCTCAACCTTCTATCTCATTCAATTTATTATTTTCAGTTCTATTTTTTTAAGTTGAATTTTATTATATATATTTTATAAATTATCATTGGTTAAGAATATTTTATATCATAGTATAAATTATTTATTATAAATCTAAAATATAATTTTTTTTTTGTAACCATGTTATTTGTGCGAAATATTCGTTGGCTTCGTCTAATCTCCTTTGGGGAACCAGGGGCTGGAACCTATTTAATTTATATATTTTAAATATTTATTAATTATAAAATTTGGTTATATCAAATGAATATGAATCTTGTGCATTGTATAGGTTAAAATATTAGTAAGTAGTAAATATGTAGTATATACTTTTGCAAAACATTATTAAAAAAACAACTGGGATGCAAGCAGTGGCATCCTACTTTTTTTTTTTCATCATTGCTTGGATCTTACAAAAGATACTAAGCATCGATTCTGTGTTTGAGATAATCCCTTGTTTCTAAATTAGCTTTGACTAGAATGTAGGAGCTGAGACCAATAACGGTTCCTCCATCTTTGCTTTGCTATCTTATAACTATAAATAAGTTTAGAGATTTCACTATCTCAGTCCCTTGGGTTTAGTTTGTTGATTGTAACTCTAAAAAGGAGTAGTCCCTCTTTTATCCTTTCCTCACAACTCTCAAACACACCTTTATTAATTTATTATGTCTGCATATGCATATATACCATGTATAAATGTATGTCCATGTGTGTGTTAGTCTATCAGCGGGATGTTGTCCCACTTTGATTTATTTATTCTTTTTCACCCTTCGATCTGATTTGATCATGAACAGGATAAGTCATGGCGTGTGAGATACATGGTTGCAAATCAATTGTATGAGCTTTGTGAAGCTGTAGGCCCTGAACCTACAAGGTATTATGTTTCTCTGAAATTTAATCATGCTGCATATCATATAACTAATAATACATCATTTTAATATATTGTATTATGAATTATAATCTGTGTTCACTAGTTGAAGTGGTCATGCATAATGGTTTAAAACTTTAAATATCAAAACTTGTGAATCCTATATGATTTACTCATATTTAACAAGGTCCTGATCATTGTCCTATCAATTTATCTATCTATTAATAATTTCTCTTGACTACTTATTGTAAAGAACGGAATTAGTCCCTGCCTATGTGCGGTTGCTTCGAGATAATGAAGCCGAAGTACGGATTGCAGCTGCTGGGAAAGTGACCAAGTTTTGCTGGATTTTAAATCCAGATCTTGCAATTCAGCATATTCTTCCTTGTGTAAAGGTGTTTCTTTCTTGTTTTGGTCTTGAAATTCAGTATTCTAAAAAAAAATTTTGCAGGCTAAAATACTTTGCCATATCTTTTTCAGGAATTGTCTATAGATTCTTCACAACATGTTCGCTCTGCTTTAGCTTCAGTAATAATGGGAATGGCTCCAGTGTTAGGGAAGGTATAGGTATCGAATAACATTCTTTGCAATTATTGTGATCTAAGCAAGGAACATTAGTATTCATATCATTCATGCTTAAATGTGGGTGCCCTTCAAATTACTAAAATTTTCTTTTTGGTGCATAGCTGTCAAAAATTATTTCCACCCCCCCCCCACACCCTGTGTTGTTTAAACTCTAAAATGAGATGTACACTTCATTCTGTGTGTAGGGTTATACTTCATGTTATGCATTTTCACGCATGAATCACCTGGTTGTGGTGATTGGCTCATTAAATCTTCAAACAGCCATGTACCGATTTATGTCTTTTTAAAATACCTAATTGTCCCTTGTGAGTTGGTTTGGTGATATACGCACTGTTGAGTTTATTGACCTATGGTTAACCAGAATCACCCTCTAGGAGGTTTTTGTTTCAAGATATTGATTACTTTACTAGAATACTATAACCAGGAATGTTATTTCTTGGTAAATTTAAAAACATATTTGGTAAATTTTTTTTTTTTAATTTTTTTATAACTATAATGATAGGAGAAAAATGTGGGACTGGGAAAGGAAATTAATGTTATATTACCAGGTTAACTTTCCCTCACCATGGGCATGAAAATCTAGCAAACCATGAGTATGCCACTTTCCTTGGAACCAATAACGGAGTTTAGTGCAATGCACATTGGTAGTAAAGGTGTAAATCATGAGAGTTGAAGCCTATGTGAATGTTATTGATGTTTCTTGATAATTGTTCTTGAGTGGTTATTTTATGTAGGAGTGACAAATGAATTCATTTATCTATCATCCATCCACTTGTAAATCCATCCAATCCATCCATTATAATAAAAATAAATAAAGAATCAGATCCAATCCATCCATTTAATTTTATGGATGGTTAGTGATCCATGTACTACTTTTTTCAATATCCATTGGATTACAATATGAAATGCTTATTAGATTGAAATTTTAAAAAGACTATTTTGACTCACAAAAAAGGTCTTGTGAATTTTAAAAGACTATAAAAGAATGTAATGACTTATAAAGAAAAGAGAAATAAAATATTGCAAAAGTAAAAATTATTTAATTTTTAAAACATTACTTTTATGGATGGATAGGATATCCATCCATAAAAAGATTGTTAATGAATGGATTGAATGGTTTTTTTTGCTTTAAATGGATAGGATGAATTGGATTTTTATGTGAATTTTTAATGGATTTAAATGGATTAATGGAATATTTTTATCTGATCCATTATGATCCTCCTAAAAAATTATTCGATCAATTCATTTGCCATTCCTAATTTTATGGTATCTGACTTCTAACTTATGCTGGTATTGAGACTTTTATGTTGGCCATACTGCATTTTGAATGTGATACTTTAATTCTGCAATTAGTGTTGTGGCAGTGTTTAGTTTTTTTTGTTCTTTCAAAATTTTCAAGAAACTATATGTATTCTCTTTTCTTTATTGCAGGATGCCACAATTGAGCAGCTCCTTCCTATTTTCCTCTCCCTTTTGAAGGATGAATTTCCTGATGTGCGGCTTAATATCATAAGCAAGCTTGATCAAGTGAACCAGGTTTTTGTAGTTCTCAAGTTGTTTTTATGTGCAAATTGCTTTATAAATTTCTAGCAACCTGGTTTCCTTTCTCTTTTCATTTGACAATGCTGCAAATTCTAGCTCGCAATGCTTATGGTCTTATGCCACCTTATATGCACTTGCAAAATAAAAATTGTATAAAGAACTCAAACGTATCAAAGAGATGTTGATTAAGTCATTCTTGCAGGTGATTGGAATCGATTTATTATCTCAATCTTTGTTACCAGCCATTGTTGAGCTTGCTGAGGATAGGCATTGGAGGGTTCGGCTTGCAATAATAGAGTATATACCCTTGTTGGCCAGTCAATTGGGGGTTGGTTTTTTCGATGACAAACTTGGTGCCCTTTGCATGCAGTGGTTACAGGACAAGGTTTGTGGACTCTACATGCTAGGTTGAGCATAGTTTTGGGAATCACTTTTTCTACATAACTGTTGTCATTAACCTCCTTGTTTGTCATAGGTTCATTCAATCCGTGAGGCAGCTGCTAACAATTTGAAGCGCCTAGCTGAAGAATTTGGTCCTGAGTGGGCCATGCAGCATATAATTCCACAGGTTTGTTCATGTGTTGGCTTAGATTGTTGTTTTAGAATAATACACCAACATGTCTATATGAATGTGTTTGTGTGGGTGTGTTTCTGTATCTTCTACAAGAATACATCTTGTTTTGCTTTATTCTTTGATTTGGATACGTTTCATATTTTCATTGTGTGCAATATGATGAAATTTTAGAAAATTACATTAAATCATAGTGAATGAACAAATAGCAGTTTTGAAGGCCAATTCAGGTTACTACCAAAATCAACTTCACTTGTGGCACACATTCCCATACAAAATCTGTGATTGATCATTGAGATTAATTTGGGCACATTTCAATCACATTCAATGGTTCAAAGTCTGTTATACCAAAATCTAAAACAAACGGATACTTGGAAAATTACGTAAACCATAGTGGGTGAAGAAAGAACCTTGTTGGATCTGTATAGAATGTAGCTTATATGAAGTATAAAATTATTAAATTACAGTGCAGACTCTTTTGTATTGGATTGTCATTTTTGTTTTGCACTTTTTTTCTGTTAGTTCGTGTATACTAGTAACCGATTCTCTGATTTGAGTTAAAAAAACAGGGACAAGTTTTTTTGAGCCAGAGTTGGGGGGAATTTTGCTCCAAACTGAACAAATAAGGTTGGGCTGGGTTGGTTTGGCAATTTTTGGTGCTTAACCTGAACTGAACCGACGTTACAAATTTGGGTTGGTTCATGTTGGGTCAACAGGTCACAAAAAAAATATTTTCTTCAGAAAAACATTTAATAAAAAAGAACCATTAAAAAAGAAAAATAAAAGGTGCAAAACATTTAAAGAAAAATAAGTATAAATATGCAAAAATTATGTATAATTAAAAACTGCAAAATAATAAAAAATAAACAACCATATATGAAGAACAATACACTAGAAATGTATTGTAAGAAATAAAATTTAGCAAAAGTATATATTGATTCACAAACTGGGTATAAATATCATTCTCCTTATAGCATAAATTGAGAGAGGACAGAACCCAGACTTGTAGAACAGAAATAGACTCACAAAATAGAGAAATAGAGTGAATAGAAAGGAAAGGAGATGTAGGGAATACAGAGGAACAAAGATTCAGAGGAAGTGAAGGAAACAAAGAAAGAGACTCAAGAACAGGGAGGTTACCTGAGAAAACCAAATTAGTCATTTGCCGGAATGGAGATTTCAGTCATATTGTTCTCATTGCGATGTTGGGTTTTGTTTGACAGAATAGAGTGGTCAGAGCATATTTGGAATTCTTGTATTAAATTAAATAACATTCAATACACAATTAATGGTCTCTGAACAGTCAGAGACTCTACATTGTTGCTCTATGCTGCCCAGTGTTATGAGAACCGGATCAGTGATCGACTCAATCACGTACTGGGTTAGTAGTATTGAATCACTAGGTCATTACTTGAATCGATACAAATTATTTTCTCATATTTATAACCAGAAACATGCTTGGTATAGTGGTTAAAAAACAAGTTCAATCTAATAGGTGACTCAGATTGGTTAGGTGGTTGGTTCCCAGGTCAACTGGTTGATTTGAGCTGATTTTGATTAACATTGAGCCTATCAGTCACTGTCATGACTGTTATGGCAAAAACATCTGCCATTGACCGCCACGCCATGACAATCCTGCAATGCCATGGTCCTTTGATAACGTTTTGCTTGAAATTGGTGACGCTGCGGCCTGGTACTGGATTTGTCTCATTTCAGCCTAAGCATATATGTACTGATAACCGTAACCGAATAATGTAATTAAATGTTGTGCTGGTACTTGATTAAATATGATGTCATGTACTGAACAATCAATACTCTTGAAAATAGGAACTTCTATATTATTTGGCTTCTACAAATGACCTTGGAGTCAAATATCCAGATAATTGAGAGGTTTAGTTGAACAAAGCTTGGATTTGTGGTTTCTTTCAGTCCAAGCTTTCTTCTGTTCTCTGCTAAAATCCTTTTTGCCAGTTCTACTCTAACATATCTCTTGAGCTCGATACATGTTTCCCCTTTGCTATGGTCTAAGATGCATACTACAAGATTTGCTTTTAATCTAATATACTAGTTACTTTTTAGTTGATTTTCCAAATATAACTTACACGTAACTGTATTGGCATGTATGAAACAGGTTTTGGAGATGAGTAGCAATCCGCACTATTTGTATCGAATGACCATTCTTCATGCCATCTCTCTACTTGCTCCTGTAATGGGCTCTGAAATCACTTGTTCGAGATTGTTGCCTGTTATTATTAATGCATCTAAAGACAGGTATCTTAATTTTTTTTGAGTGCGGTTATGCTATAAGGTATTGTTATAATACCTTTTTAAATACTGCCTGTTTGATCCCCTGTAGAGTACCCAACATTAAGTTCAATGTGGCAAAGGTCTTGGAGTCAATCTTCCCCATAGTGGATCAATCTGTAAGCAACTTAGCATCACATAAGTCTACTAATTCTTGTGTTTTCTGTCCTCTTATATACTCTTTGTTTGTTGTTCACTTCTAATGTCTGTGAACTTCATTTCCATTTAGGTTGTGGAGACGACCATCCGTCCAAATCTGGTTGAGCTCAGCGAGGATCCCGATGTCGATGTAAGATTTTTTTCCAATCAAGCACTTCAGGCGATTGATCATATCATGATGTCTAGCTAGGCAGCAATCTTTAACACGCCTTAGATTGAATGCCTTTGTAGAGATGCTAATATTATCAAAAGTACTTGTATTCTACTTGGTGTTCCTCAGCGATAGCTATATATGGTTTTGTGAGCGATATCTTAGTCATTAGCAATTTAGGTGATGTTGTACCCGTGTATAATATGTTGATTGTATGTTGCTAGGTTCTTTTTGTTTGTTGTCCTCGTAGACAGCGAATTGCTTGTCTGTGATTGCCATAAAAAACTACTTCTAAATATTAAGGACTCAATCTAGGTTAAGGGAGATTAAATCTTAGCTTGTATAATATGTATTTTACATTGGTTCATTATATATATATATATATATATATATATATATATATATGTATGTATGTATGTATGTATATAGAGGGGGTTATAATTATACCGGTGTAACTTTTACTAAGTATTACACCACTCAATAACTTTATATTAATTATAAATTTTGTAAATCCAACCGTTAGATTGAAAGTTCATATCAATTTATACGTGTATATCAAATTTTGTTAAAATTGAACAACTTAAAGGTAATCAAAGTGTTCATATTTTAGTATATTTTAAAATGAATATATTACGCTAATTTTGTTTTTATAAAAATGAAATATCAAATCATCTTGGATTAATATAAAATTTTGTATATATGATTTAAGAGATATGAATACTTGGTAATTGGCGTAACATTTGGTAAAAATTACACCGGTGTAATTATAACCTCTATGTGTATATCAAATTTTGTTAAAATTGAACAATTTGAAGGTGTAACACTTGGTAGAAGTTATGTCGATATTATTATAACCTTCCTTATTTAATCATCTTAGATTGTATAAAAATGTATTTTATATTGGTTTCATTATGTATTTTTGCTAGGAGCAGTAATGGTTATTATTATGGTATTCTATAACTATATGACACTATTTTATCTCCTATTGGCCAACCCAAAATAGTTTTCCTGTGGACCTCAACCCTGTATTGCTGCATTTACGACCTTTTACTAAATTCCTACCATTGGGGTTGTTTCAAACTATTTTTTTTTAAACACCAATTAGCACTAAACTAGTGAAGGTGGTAACTTTAATAAATTTGAAAATATATCATATTTATGTAAGGGACTTGCTGATTCAAAATGTTTGCCCAGTTAATAGCGTAGAGACGAAGAAAAGTTGTAATAATGAAATCAAGTCAAATTATAATATTGAAATCAAATTACATTTAATAAAATTATTCTATTAAAACTTTGAAAAGGGATGAGACTAATCAATACATGATAAATTTTGCAACGTTGTATATGTTAAAATTTTTTCGGTAATATATGTTAAATTTTATGTAAGCAACAATTGAATTTGAGTAACTTGACTTACACATATTGGTATTTTCAGACAAGTTTGTTTTTTTGTATATATATATATATATATATATATATATATATATTATAGTTTTGCAATTTTAAAAAAAAACTATTCTTTCTACTTAAGAATTTAGTGACTTGTATTGTTTTTGTTTTTGTTTTAGTTTTTAATTTTAATCTATATCTAGCTTATGGTTTTTCAATCACTAAACCGTGTTAATACTCAATTATTACGGACTTTTTTTTTTTTTTTTGCTTAGAGACTAACTATTTAATTGTTAGATCAAAATTTAACAACTAAAAAAAGCTTCTGTTTCTGTCAAAAGCTATATATTCAGTCTCTGTATTGTTATCTAAATCGCAAATTTTATCTTAAAACGTAATTGTCATTATTCATGTGTGTTAATTTCTGAGTTTAATAAATACCAAGCTTAAGTTGACAACAAAGTTTGAGGTCATATAATTAACAGTTCGGATTATCATTGACAATATTTGGGTCAAGCGAGAAAATATTATATAATTTAGAATTTGAATAGTCAATGTTTACATTTTGATTTTTTTTATTGATGGAAAAGCTATTAAATTGAATAGGAATAGTTGTTACATTATGAAGGTTATCAACTCTTAATGGAAGAACAATGAAGGATTGAAATCCTCTTCAATGTGTCATGAATCAATTAAACAAATAAATTTGACATCACATTTAACCTAAAATCCCGATTAAGGCATTAGGTTTTTGGATTCGTGGCACTTAAATGTTGTTTAACTTGTATCTCTATCCAATATGAAATTCAAAACTACTCACACTTGCATTTTAACACAAGTTTGTAATTTGTGAAAGCTTACATGTAAAAGCATGTGATTCTCCATTAGTTTACATGACAAAAGCTAAAGGAATTTCTACTTTACTCTAAAATTCTAAGCGTTTTATTGTGTGTATGAAAGGTGGTCTATAAATTACTCATAAGAAAAATGTTGAAGAGTTTGAAGAGAAAAGACATTTATGCCATTGTATATGTATTTAAAATAAAATAAAAAATAAAGACAAAAACTTATGACGCACAAAAGAGAAAAATGTTGAAGAGTTTGAAGAGTAGTAATGGTTAGTTTTTAAAAAAGAATGAAAGAATAAATAAAAAATGGGTCAATTGAGGGTAAAAGTGTCTAAATAAAATGAGATAAAAGAAAATTATCAAAAATATGTATTGTCTTTATATATATAAAAGGAAAAAGAGACACTTTGTGTCTTTCTAATTTTTAAAGTAAATAAAAAAAAATAAATCATGAAGTGGGTAGTTACTTATTTTGTAAAAGGAAAAAAATGGGTAGTTATTTATAAAGAGTAAGTATTTTAAGACTGAAAATACCTTAAGAGAGAAAGAGTTATTTAGATTTATGATTAAATAAAAAAGATAAAATGTACAATGATCCCGACAAGTCATTACACTTAGTATAGTATAGTTACTATGCAACTGAAATACTAAACTGAAATCTACTACTCTTATGGTTTTCATGCAATAGTTTCTGATCATTCATGTAATTCAATACATGTATAAAGGTAAAAACATAAAATTGTTCCTGTATATATGAGTAAAAACAAAAATCCCCTTATGCGATTACATATATACCCATTACATATATACAATCTACAGAGGTTATACAACTATGTATAAAATAATCCTAATCCTTAGTTAAATGTCACTACAACAACCATGCTATATCAAAATAACATCACCAAAATTGGGCCATCACCAGCACGATCCTCTACCAACCAACCAATCTATCCTACTAATCTTGTTTCATTCTCATACCAAGTATGATTATTACAATTTCAACCATATGGAGAAAAAAGGGTAAGCTTGTGAAATAAATAACATAAACAGTTCAACAACATAATAAGCTCAAGTAAAACTTCATCTGAAATCATTCACCAATGATTTAAAACAACAAATGAATAATATCAAGTAATAGTAGATCATCATATAAATACCTCAACATAGATGATAAACAACTTTCAAACACAATAGAGTCATAGCTAACAATGGAACAATTATTAAAACCAAACATAATTGCTAAACAACTTAACAATGAATGTGTTGCCACACATAATATCCAATGAAGGTCTCTTATAACAATAGTAAACAGTATAAGTGACTTGACCCTACCGAATCATAACAACTAGTATAAAACTAAAAATAACATTTGACACAACAACTTGAAACAACTAGTATAAAATTAGAAATAACAGGTAACACAAGGTTAGGTTGTATATAATTGTGTGTGTATCTATATACATTATATAAAAGGGGTAAAATTTTTAATATATACATTCAGTCTACAAATTTTTAAAATAATTTAAAAACTAGTTGATACTACATTTCATTAATTTAAATTGACAGATAAGCATAAAAATATTTCATACATTGATTTGAATCTATATAACAAAATATCATATAATTTTTAAATGTTTTAAAAAAATTTAAATTTGATTTATATATTAAAAACTTTTAATTCAACAATTGAATTGTTAAAATTTGATAAAACATGAATTATTGAGTGGAAGAAGTCTACCAATTTTAGAGTAAGTGGATCCCTCCTATATATATGTGTATATATAGATGTATAAATTATAATTAAATGTTGTAAAAGGATAAAGTCCTATAATCATACATAATTATTCTTTTAAGATGGGATTTTCTTGAACAATGATTGTAGTCTCTTTATTTATTTATTTATTTATTTTTGTTTGGAAAATTAAAGAAGATAGATGTTTGGACATCAAAATATAAGGGAGGGATCAAAATGAATTATATTGGTATAACTTTTACGATTCTTATACCATTTAATAACATTATATAAAAAGTGAATTTTGTCAATTCAACTAATGAGTTACCACTTATATTACTATGAATATGAATGCCAAATTTTGTTAAAATTAAATTACAACAGAAAAAAAAATTCAAATTATTCATATTTTATTTGCATTAAAGCTATCCTCCAAATGATAGTTGGAGGCTAATTTTTTGGAGACATAAAAATTACTAAAATGAATTGTCTCTCTCAATAAGGTTTTCTTTATGTACACAGTGAGAAATCGAACTCACCATAACATGTTCAAAGAACTCAATTATCTACCAACATTAAGATTTAAAATCTTGTACATATTACTCACATTCTTCACCACTAAGTTGACCTTGTGAATTTTACAAATATGTTTATAATTTGGTCAATAGGAAAAAATCTCGTCACTCAACATGTATTGAGCCTTGACCGAGTAACAACCTTAAACTATTTACAATATTATTCAAGTTTTTCTTCATCTCTTCTTTCATTATTGACAAAATAAAAAAAATAAAAAATAAACGTACACATGTAAGTTAAGGTTCATATGAAGCTTAACGTGCATTACAAAATTATTTTGACTGGTGCACAGAAAATTAAACAAGGTGAACGCACAGAAATAAGCCATATGTTTATTTTGAACGATGAAAAGATTTTGGCAATCATCGAACACCAAGTTTCGTAACATGTTCATATACAGTTTTCTTGCACTACTAATCACTCTTATGCCTTCTATTCTTAATACCATGTCAAACTCATAAAGATATGCATTCAAAGAATGACCTAAAAATTGTTGGACTTCAGAAACAATGTACAATATCCAGTTGATGTCAGAAGCAAATTTAATTGTTAATTCTTTGGTCAACTAAACGTTAAATATCACCATTTATCTTTATCCTTCAAATCTCAGCCAATAATTAACTCCTTTACGCAACATGGACTCCAAGCAAGTAGAAACAAATTCAAAATTTAAGAATAAAACATAAAATGTAATTTTCTTGAGAATTCATCAATGTAGGGAAATATTTTAAGAGCCCATTTGTTAAAGTTTGTCTAGTAAAATAATCATTTTTTTTAAATAATCTCTTATTTTAGTTCTTTATATTTTTTTTAAAATAATCAAAAACTAAAAAATGAATATAAAATAAGTTTAAATCATAAGCTATTTTTTTTAATAGTTTCTTAAAAAACCAGCTGATTCTTTTGAAGAAAAATATGGTTTTTATAATTTTAAATTAACAAACATAAATTAATTTTTATTTGTTTAAATTTTGTAAAATATAACCGCTTGATTTTTTTTTTACATCAAGTACTTTTTTTTTTTTTTTTTTTTTTTTTTTTAGGCTTGTGCTTCTTTTCCTTTTTTTTTAAATCAAGTTTTTTTTTTTTTTTTTTTTTTTTTAATTTGTAACAAGCTGACCCTAAATATAACCATTTTGAAATATTATAATTATCGCTATTTAATTGAGGCCCTTACCTAAATTCAGGATATTTTTTTTAATGTCTTCCTTATACCATTCAAAGCTCAACCAATAATTAATTCCTTTATATATAACGTAACCTTGAAACCAAGTAATCACGTAACCAATAAGAAAAAAATTAAAAAACTCCAGATGTAATTAACTAAACAATTTATCCTGTAAAGATTGATAAACACACACATACACACACACATACATACATATATATATATATAATATATATAGTTGAGCTCCCTTGTACCATTAATATCATAGCAACAAAGTTGATTCTCTCTTATTCCATATTATAGCATTATTAATATGGCTTCAAACCCAGAAGCATACAAGCCATATGGGAAGCAACCCACCAAGGGACAATGGACCACTGGTCTCTATGATTGTTGGGATGACCCCTCTCATTGTAAAGTCCAATTAATAATTTTTTTGGGATTAATTATTACATGCTAGCTTCTTGCTTTTGTTGGTTGATCTAAACACTGTTGCTACATACGATATTTATAGGTTGCTTCACATGCTGTTGTCCATGCATCACGTTTGGGCAGATTGCGGAGATTGTTGATGAAGGGACAATATGTAAGTCAATCAATGAAATCTAATATTCATGAGTTATTGGATGATGTGTTTTCTACAAAATTAGTAAGTCCAAAATTTAGGTATAGTTTTTATTTTTTTTAATTTTTTTAATTTTTTTTTATGTATGATTAGTGTTATTGTTATATTAGTGTTGAATTTTACTTTGACATTATATATTTTTATTTAATATGAGCCTTATTAATATACATTTATGTATATTATCGAAATAAAATTTTAATTCTGATCGGAGAATAATATCAACCACACTTAAGAAATTATATCTAAATTTTATTCAATTTGTAATATAAGCATTATATGCCACATAATATTTAACTGTATTAGTTGGCTTGCTTATAAATTTTACATATATGAATGAGGTTGAACGCTAAGATATCAATTATTTAACATATTCATAGTTATTATTTATTTCATGAAAAGACGCCTCATAATCAAACCTTAATTTAGAGGTGACAAAATTGAGAAAAATTCAAGTCTTACTTCGATTAAAGATAAGACAATTAAAAAATATATAAGTGGAAAATGATCCTTACTTTATAAACTGATTTTGTAGGATTGAGTTAAGGTTTAAATTCACTATCTTAAAAAATATAGATACAACCGGTTAGACTTAGTTTTGTTTCCTACTTCTAAAGTAAAGTTCTAGTCATATAAAAATATAATGCTTTTCTCAGAATTTTAGTGAAAAGATGAAAAGGATAAATCAAAAGATAAAAGAAGTTAAAAAAAATCTCTCAAAACTCTCCTTAAAAAAATTCTTAAAAACATTCTTATTGATAAATAATTCTTAAAATCGTTCTCATTCAATATAATTATTCTAATTTTTATATATAAAAAATGTGTTGAGATTAAAATTTTAAAATTTAATTTAAACTAATATTTACTAAATTCAAGGAAAAATATTTGAAAATATATCATATAAATAAAATAAAGAAGAAAGAAAACGAGTTAAATAAAAAAGAAAATCATGTCTAAAAACACTTTCATTAAAAAAATTATGATGATTTAATTTAAAGTATAAAAATAGATTGAAATAGAAATAAAATTATAGCTATAATCAATGTAATCGCTTGATTCCTGCAAGTTGATGCTACATTTAAAATTTTAAAAATAAGACCGTAACAATATGTAGAATTAATACACAATGAACCACAAATTTCTGAACAAACAATTAATTAGATACAAAGTCAAGTAGTATGAATTATACTTCAAGTGTTTTTTGTGGTACTAATGTCCTAATCAATACCAATCAATTTTCTTTCAAGTTCAATACCAATAAATTTTTCTTTTATTTTTTATGTGACTCATATTTTTAACTACTCCCTTTGGATTTATATAAGTAAAAAAAGTACATAATTTTTTTAAATTTAAATATAACTAAATTCTAACTAACTTATCCAATTTAATATTATTATTACAAAAATCATCCTTAAATTATGTCATTACTATTTTCAATAAATACTATTAAGGATAGTTTAGGAGGTAAAGTTTAGTTTTTATATGAAATGAATAAAATTAAATGAATTTAAAATTTAAAAGGTTTGACTTTAAAAGGTTTGACTTTGATTTGATTGTCTTCTTTAAAACTTTAACTTAACTTATTTAATTGATATATGTCGATACGTGATTTTAAGGGTTGATCTAACTTCTTAAAAAGTCTGACTTAAAAATTTATTTAAAAATACCTTTAGCTAAACCTGTAAATAAGGTTGATGTAGGTTTTAGCCAAAACAGTGATAAAATATTTACAATATATTTATCATGTGAATATAATATTATTTTTCCTTTTGAAAGAAAATAAGAAAATAAAAAGCTAATAAACCATCATTCAATTGCATCAATTGGCAGCCAAAAATGCAGCATGTTGCATTTATATTTTCACACACGAGGGGATGAAATGGCTATATGGTGCAACTTACAGATCCAAATTGAGACGATTGTTCTCACTGCCACAGGAACCCTACTCTGATTCATTTGTTCATTGTTGTTGTTGCATTTGTTCCCTCACACAAGAATACAAAGAACTCAAAAACCGTGGAATTGATCCTTCCATTGGTAAGTAATTCCCATTCATATTCCATTTCATGCATAATATCTATCTATGTTCCTATATAGCTTAAGAGGTTAATGGTCATATGCACCGATACTATAAAGTAATTTTATACTTTTAGCTAAGTCAAATATCATTGTTTGTATGACTTTTTATTAATTAAATTTATTCATGTTGAATACTGATTATAAAATTTACATCTTGTTTAAAAGGTTGGGAAGGTAACGTTGAGAAGTGGAAGAGGGAAGGCGTAGACCCTCCAATTGTTCCCACCATGTCTCGTTGATTTGAGGACTTGCCAATTGTTGCCACTAGGTTGTGAAGTTAATTGTTCCATTATTTGAGTTGTTATGAGTTGAAAGTATTTGCATGTGGTGTGTATACATTAATAAGTTGGTGTGTAAATTAAATTCGTAAATGCATGTAGTTGATAGCTTATATATATTATGCTAAGTTGAATTTTGGTTTCTTTATAAGATCTATGAGCCTTCTTATCCAAGTAAAATAATATGAGACAAAATAACAATGAGATGTATCACTAAGTGAAGGCCTATAGTGAAAATTTTATGATTTAAGATTGTTTATATATAGACAATTGGATGTAGTTTTATGTGGAAAGTGAATAAGTATAAAATTCCTATGTGAATCTCTCTTTCTCATGACATTTTGCATCATATCATCATTACATTGCATCACATTTTAGTGTCTACGACTTAGTTTCCTTAGGTCTTCAAAGCTAATAGCGTAGAACCATTAGGTCAAGTACTTGCTTGACATATTTGATTTTTTGTTTAAGTCTAGTGCTTACTTGACACAAGTTACAATTTTATTTTGTATAAGCTTAGTATCTACCTGACACAACCCATGTTTAATGCAGCACAAACATTTGGTCACTCCAATACTAACATTAAGTTGATCTAGCACCAACATTTTGACCAATCCAACACTAATACTCGATTGATTCAGCACCAACAATTGGTCAATCCAACCCTAACATTTGGTGGATCCAACCTCAACATTCAGGTCATTCTACCACCAATATCCAACCATTCCAACCCTAACATTTGATCATTCCTACATTAATATTGGTTAATCCAACACCAACATTCAATCAATGTAGACTACAATTCAGTCAATCCAACCTTAGCGTTCAATCTCCAGCACGAGCATTTTGGAGAAAAGAAAGATATTAGAAGGAGGTCGAATAATGTAAATAAAAAACTCAACACTTTTTGAAATAATGAATTAGTATCCAAAAGTCTTAAAAGTATAGACAAAGAATAAATAACAAAGAACACAAAGTATTTTTATACTAATTTTGTCTCAATAGGCAAGACTACATCCAATTCTTGATCAACCTGATCAAGTTCCATTATTTTTAATAAAAATACAAGTATTATTTTTATACTTACCTCTTCAAGCAACTATCCAAATATTTTGTGAACAATGAACCTCTCTGGGCTTCAACAGCTAAAAGGATCTAAGAGAATTAGACCCATTATGAGGTTTGTGGACCTAAGCTCAACTTGAGCTATATGCTACTAAATATATCTTTTTGGGCACTTGTGTATATTTTCTTTTATTTTGGGTCAAATAATATAGAAACTTCATTATAATTTTTATTATTGTGTAACATTTGGACCTAGGAGGTGCAAATCATTTTTGGGACATGTATTAATGTTTGTTTTGAATTTGAAGCACATGTGGCCAACCAAATCAATAAGCTCATAGGGGACCACATGGTGTTACAAATTTAAATTCAAATGTTAAGCACATGGTAATCAAAAACAAGTCACATTTTCCTTGCTTGTCACATGACCTTCTTTCATTGGCTAGTCTACATCTTAGATCTAGAAGCACATGATGCACATGGCAAGTTAGAACCAAAATTTGAATTCAAAATCTTGGACGACCAACACACCCTAATTAGGCTACCATTGTTCAACTTAAACCAAACTTAGTTTTCTCCATAATTCATAGCTTTTTTTAAGACTTTTTCCTAGTGTAGTTTGTCACTTTTGAGCATGTGAAAATTTCATTTTCTGAATTCTCTCTAAAATCTCTCTAGAATTATTAAGGAAAATTTCTTTCCTTAAGTGCTTGTATTAAGGAAACTCTCCTTGTGGCAAGTTGTTCATTTCTAGCTTAACCTTTCTCTTGAAAGGTGGTGCGCCAATCCTCTTCTACCTCATCCATATTTGCTTTGCTTGTTTGAGTTTTTGGTCCATGGAAGAATCATGTGAGCTACATTGGAGAATTCAGATTCCATTTTACAAAAGAGTTTCCTTCATAAAGCTCTTATAATTGACAATCTTTAAAAACTTGTAAAGCTTATTTTATTTTATATTAAGTGTTGTAATTGTGCTTTACTATAAGCACACTTATGTTAATATTTTATCTTTTTTACATTTGTTTTAAGTAATTTCAATTCATTAAGTGATTATGTAGTGTATATTATGAAGAGAATGTGAGGAACACTTAGTATAAGTGTTCTTACCGGAATCTGTCGTAGGGACGATCTTCCAAGCAAGATTGGTGAGCCTCCTTCACTAGTACGCTTGATGCTCCAAGATAGGGGTGGTACCTGCAAAAGAGACTCCGATGCTAAAGTTAGGGTTTGTATGAGTATTAGTCTCGTATATATAATGCACGTACCTTGGTGTGATTTAGGGTTACTTCTGGCTTTGGGCTTGAAATAAGATATAATATGGTATAATATGATTAAATGGTGGATCTCATATGGGGCGAGATCCTCGGGGGGCTTTGGGCTTGAAATAAGATATAATATGGTATAATATGATTAAATGGTGGATCTCATATGGGGCGAGATCCTCGGGGATCGGTTATGATTTGCTTAAATACCAAGCTGACGTCGCGTAGCGCGTGCCCGAGGTCGTCTTGTATTGCTGTGCCGAGCTCAGAGCTCGGCTTTGTAGCACGGATAGTACACTAGCCCCCCGAGCTCCGAAGACCGTAGGTCGAGGAGTTAATACCGAGCTTGGTAAGGGGTCGTGACTCTTGGCGTACGCTTCTCTCTTGTGATGCCACGTGTCACAAATGTCAACTCGCCTCCCAAAACTCGTGGGGGGCGTGCTGGTGGGAGGTAACGGTCATGTAGACGTACCTTGGTAATATTAGGATCATTGTCAGGGTTTTACCTTGTGATTGCGGCGCAGTGACAAGATTGTATTTTTATCTGTTTGACGATGTGGCCTCGTTGGGCCGATGTGGTACCCCGATGTCCATATTTCATGGCCAAGTCGAGGAAATCGGAGGTACCAAGTTTACCACTTGGTTAGGCTAGTAAACCTTCGACCGAGTCAATAGATTGGCGAGAGACAAGTCGGTGACTCGACTGGCCAGTACACTTGTTCTCCCAAGTAGCGAGTGATGTAAGAGTGAAGGAGCTTCTAAGGAGCTCCCTAATTTTTTGTTTGAAGGTTCGAATTCGACCTTATTGAGTAGATGTGATCTTCAAGGGTCGAGCTCGACCTTGGTTAAGAAAATGTAGTCTCAAGGTTAGGTCAGATAATAGGTTTCGCCTGGAGCTAGAATCCCTGAGATCGGTCATGGCCTACTTGAGTGCCGAGCTGGCATCGTATGGTGCATGCCCGAGGTCATCTTGCACTGTGATACCGAGCTCAGAGCCTGGTTTCACAGTACAGATAGTACACTGGACCGTAGGTCGCGGAGCCGAGACCGAGCTTGTTGGGGGGGGGGGAAATGGCTTTTCGCGTACTTCGGCCTGTTAAGATGCCACGTGTCAAAACTGTCATTTCTTATCTCGGTAACCGAGGCCCGTGCGTTAATGGGTGTGACAGATATGCAATGATGGCTCCTTTTGTCATAATGGGTCTCATTTATTGGGCGTTCAGGTGTGTCCCCTGGTTGGCACGTGTTGTGGCCGTTTGAATTTTGGGAGACCCCTTTTCTCTTACTCGCGCCTTTCCCCCCTTTCACTTTACCCTTTCATTTTCTCTTTCCTTTAGTTTCTTGCCTAAGGCGCTTCCTGTACCTTCGCTTTCGTTCAATTTCCATAATTGTTTCCGACAACTGGGTTTCGCCTCTTCCTATCCCTTCTTTCTTTTGTCAAAAGGGTATCAGGTACTTCGATTTCTTTGTTCTCTCTTCTTTCTCCCATCTCCTCCTTCTTCGAGTCTTTTCATTTTCTTGATGGGTAGAGAGACTGGTTTTGGGTCTTCTACGCCTGTCGGGGGCAGAGGTAGGGGGCTGTCGCCACCGGCCCGAAACGGGCTTTCGGCA